AGCAGGAAACCTGGATCTGGGTGGCTGCTAGAGCCTCTGTCCTCTCGACACTACCTGCTTTCCAGAGCTCTACCTCTCCGCTTATGAGAAGTCAGGGGTGGTAATCTTTGTAATAAAAGGAGAAATGGAAAAGAACCCCCAGCGAGAGGCACAAACCCAGATGTAAATTCAGTCTGTGCCCCGCCCCACCCCAAATCTTCATGAAAGTTTATTCCCTCAGCTTTCCGTGTCTTTATTTTGCACTTTTAAGCTCCCCCCATCTTGAATATTCCTGTGGAAAGTTCTTGATTCTTGAGCCTGGGGGTTTTGTCTATTTTTTAAAAAAGAAAATATTAAATCGTAGAGGTTTAGCCACTGAACATGTCAAACTATAAGTTATGTTTCAAGCTGTGAGGAAAAAAAAAAAAACGTTTCAAAGACTGAAATAAAGCCTGCAAACAAAGCTCTGGTCCTTTGTGTGTGAGCCCATCCCTGCGGAGAACTCAGAAGCCCTGGGAGAGGTTTCCATCAGCTGTAGACAGAAGCAAAACCCTCAGCCACAGCCAGGGACCTGACAGGTTTTTTTCATGACAATGGAATTAATCACATCGATTCTAAACATAAACATTCTTCAGCAATTCAGAAAAGCCACACTTCACTAGCACCAGTATTCTCCCCTGTATTGTAACCAGAAGACTAATTCGAAGTTTTTGCTTCCGGAATGTGACTTGTGATTCAACAGAGTCCTTCCTGCTTCTAGAAGGGGCTGAAACGAGGATGCGGCAGTTGTTATCACCTCGTTCAACGGTGCGACAGAATGTCGACAGAATGTCGACAACGGTGCGACAGAATGTCCTCTCAGAGACTGTGATCTAAGAAACCCAAAAGGGACACACAGTTCTTTCTCATTTCATGGTGTTCCAGGTATGCAAGGATTGCTGAAACAGAGCACCCCTGTCCTCTGGAGCCCGCATGAGATGCTAAATACTCCACAGGACTTCACGCTTGCTCTGATTTGAAATGGTACCACACAAAGCTGAGGAGCTAAGGCAGTGAGAGATAAGAAGGTTATCAGGATATCTTGCTCGGTGCAGGGATGTAGAGACAAGCCCTGAGAGAGGATAGGCTTTGGAAAGGCTAGGTAACTGTAACGAGGACAGAGAAGACGTGGCAGAATAGAATGTTAGGAGATGGAACCAAGAGGAACCAAATGTGATGGGGTGAAACCCCAGGGTCCAGACGCAAATACAGCCCCCTTTGACAACATGGGAGGGGAGACTGAGGGAAGGGAAACCCTCTCTCCGTCATCAGCCTTTATATATCCAGCATGTTTCTTCTGCCCAGTTTCCAGGGAAGCCTCAGACACCTCTAGTTTACTGAAAGCACAGCAAATCCCTGTGGTAGTTGATAGTGTGTCGATCCAGAGCTCAGCTTCTATTAAGGGACAGTGCGAGTCTCCAGCACATGCACCTCTCTGCACACCCATAACCCATCCCCACTGTCAACTTTTCCAAACCCTGAGAACATGGATACTGAGTCCACTATTTCCACTACCTTTTATTTTATTTTAATTTTTTTTATTAAAAATTTTTTTATTGGAGTGTAATTGATTTACAATGTTGTGTTAGTTTCAGGTGTACAGCAAAGTGAATGTTATATATCAGTTATATATATATATATATATCTCCATTGTTTTTCAGATTCTTTTCCCATATACGTTATTAGAGAATACTAAGTAGTGTTCCCTGTGCTATACAGTAGATCCTTATTAGTTATCTATTTTATATATAGTAGTGTGTATATGTTAAACCCAATCTCCTAATTTATCCCTTCCCCCCATGTTTCCCCTTTGGTAACCATAAGTTTGATTTTGAGATCTGTGAGTCTGTTTATCTTTTGTAAATAAGTTCATTTGTGTCATTTTAAAATTAGATTCCACATGTAAGTGATATCTCCACTGCCTTTATTTATTTTAAAAATATTTATTTATTTATTTATGTGGCTACGCCAGGTCTTAGCTGCAGCAGGCGGGATTTTTATTTGCAGCATGAGAACTCTTAGTTGCAGCACGTGGGATCTAGTTATTCCCTGACCAGGGATCCAACCCGGGCCCCCTGCATTGGGAGTCTTAGCCACCGGACCACCAGGGAAGTCCTTCCACTTCCTTTTCAACATTAGGTGGGTGTTTGGTTTAATTACAAAGGGGATGAATCGTTCTTTAAAATTAAAATGATATTGGAGTCCATATATAAAGTAAAAAGTAAAAGTTCTCTCTCCTTTTTTTCCTATGCAATAGTTAAATTCGGGTGTATCCTTCTAGACTTGCTCATGCATATATGGAAATATCTGTCTATATATACATGGACCACAATATACATATTTAATCTATTTTCTTTTTAGGCAAATGGGATTCTATTATACACATTACCCTACAACTTGCTTGTTCTCCTTTAATGTTTCTTGGGCATTATTTCATGTCTCTACCTATTCCTAAATACTCTTATTGCCTCCACAATGCAATTCATAGCATGGATACATTGTAATTGTTCACTGAAAAATTTTATTTCAAATGGTATACACAAAAATAAATATCTTGGGCAATCTTCCTATCACATCAGACTTGTTCCTTCAGCCAAGATGGCTTCCACTTGTTAACTAAGGTCCTCAACTCCATCGCCTATGAATCTCTTCCTCTTTCAGGAAATTCAATGTTTTATAATATTAAAAAATTTTTTTCGAAATATAGTTGATTTACAATGTGTTAGTTTCAAGTGTACAGCAAAGTGATTCAGTTATACACATATATATTCTTCAGATTCTTTTCCACAATAGGGTATTACAAGATATTGAATATAGCTCCTTGTGCTATACAGTAGGTCCTTGTTGTTTACCTATTTTATATATAGTAGTGTGTATATGGTTTTTTTCTTCTTTGTTTTTGCTGTGCTGCACAGCTTGTGGGAGCTTAGTTCCCCAATCAGGGACTGAACCTGTACCCCCTGCAGTGGAAGCATGGAGCCCTAACCACTGGACTGCCAGGGAATTCCCAGTAGTGTGTATATGCTAATCCCAAACTCCTAATTTATCAACCCCCCTCCCCGCCTTCCCTTTTGGTAACCATAAAATTGTTTTCTATGTCTGAAGTCTGTTTCTGCTTTGT